AGAAATTTGTTCATGTACGATTCATGCTGTTTTTTTTTGAAATTTTTATTTCTATGTATCATATCCTACATAAAGTTTCCTTCGTAAATCTTGCTGTTTGAAATTTGCACAATAAGTCAATCGGTCCATCGATACCTATTGCCAACCTATTCCGTCTATTGCTCTTTGTAATACCACGATAGCTTCCTTATGGAAGATACAGAGTGTGGTGATAACGCTTCACTTACATAGCATTTTGACAAAAATTGTTAATGTTGTGAAATTATGAAATTGCCTAATCATGGTAAAAGTGCTTATGTACTGTGTCGCGAGTGTAAACTGCGGCCGTGCTATGTTTGAATAAGGCTCGACTTGAATTCTATCGGTGATGTGAAGAAGGCGTTCTATGATGTGAATTCGAGGAATGAGCTAAAAAGCTGGAGGGTTGTACTCTTATTCATATTTAACAGGAAAGATGGTCAGAAGGTATTTTGGTGTTCACTATCACAGAGGTGACTAATAGTATCATCAGCTGTTCTACCTCTGATCCAGTGAAGAAATAATTTCCATGAAAGTGTAGTATGAAATATGATAAGAGAACACGAAGTTCTGCTTTATCGTTCGCAATTAATGTGCGTAATGTGGTAAGACTTTTTCTAGGTGTTAAAGTGATGGAATCAGTAGAACTTGTGCTGGAGTCGGTTGGGAATGATTATCCAGGCTTAGTACGAGAGGCTCTTACTGGTTCGTTTCATCTCAAATATTCATATTATTATTCAGCATGTTGCGTACTTTTTGTTATATTGTAATATATAGAATGCAACATTTCATGCTTTGTTATTAACTTTAATTTATGCAGAATTCGTCTTTCGAAAACTAATGTGTAATGATTATGTTTTATTTAGCGAAAGAACCAAACAGTACATGTTCAGGCTCGTTGTCCAGTTGTGGTTATGCTTGGTTAATAGTTGGTCAAAATCTATATGTGTGGAAGTATGACACAGAGGTATTATAGCTTTTGGGGCATTACATTCGTGTTATATAAGTGACAAACAAGTTTGGTAGTTATAATCTTGGAATTTTTTCAGGAAGATTATGCAGGTGCACCAGCAGTACTTACTTTACCACCTTCTGGACTTCCTTATAATGCGCAAACTGTTTGTATATACAAAAGACAAGGTTTCTTCTCAACTTTACTGAACTCTTGTTTGAAATATGGATATTAGACTTTAGTAGAAAGACTCGGTTATTCCATGCTTTCAGGTTTTTCGACATTGGGTATAATTGTTGTAACACCAGAAGGTATTGTCCGGCATTGGTCTATGCCAGATCGTCAATTCAGTGACAGTTCAGTTGATCTGGGTCGAGAGGTAGCATTATCACTAACAAGAATAAATTCGCAGTCATCAGGTTTTATGATTCATTTATTCGGAAGTCTTATAAAATGGAATGATTTATACACTGCTTAACGAACTCTAATTATTTGCGAGATCAACTATAAATTTAATAGTTGTAGCGAAAGCGACAACACTCACGTCAAGATTGTCTTAATACATTGGGAGCACCATTAAGGTTTTCATATTCTTATATCCTAAGTGAGATTAATTAAGAATGCAGATTTAAATTAAATCTATTTAAATTAAATCGAATTGGTCCAATAAAAAATTTGGAATTAACTTGAGGGATTTTTTCTCTTTTTTTCTTCAGTATAATTTTTAGAAGGAATATGGTTTCTTTTGGCAACAACGACATGCTCATTGTTCTTACTGAATGTCAATGCGAGCACTGCTCCTACACCAGGAAAAAGACAGCGATTATCTTCCGAAATTACCATAAAAATCATTCATACAAATGCGAGAATTGGAATTGGTGGTAAATTGGCTTCAGCAATATTTGGTGAAGGAAGGCAATCCGGATCAAAGTACTATATTTCCATTTTTTGAAAGTTTCAACAGCACTTTGAGACTTAAGATCTCCTTCAAGCTTCTTGTTGTTGACTATATTTGTCACCTTACTTAATCACAAACAAGTCCATCTCATATGTCGCAGTATTCTAAACAACCAAATATGTGTATATATACAAAAATTACGAAAAAAGTTTAGGCTGGTTAAGGCTCTGGTATATGAACAATCAGTTGGTGATTTGGTGGATTCGCGTTCCAATGCATCAAGTAGTTCAAATCCAATTGGTACAGGAAATATGCATGTACTTGCGGTGACCGAACGTCAACTTCACTCTTATTCGATGAGAGATTGTGCGAAGATTTGGAGTTGTGAATTGGCAGATATGGCTAGCGAACGCTTTGCGTTGGCTCTGTGGGTATGTTTGGCTTAGAATTGCTTATGTTTGAATTGTCTGTGAATAGTCATGATAATGCGTTTTTAGAAATTGTATGAGGAACATAATAATTGGCAAGAGAAAATTAAAACATGGATAATAGATGCGGTTAACATCAGGAATGGAACATTGGTCTTATTCGCATGCTGCAACAAAGATGTTTCAACAAGGATACACTTTGCTTTTGGTTAGTGTTAATGAACAATAAGTTCAAAATCAAAAGTGAGCTTGGATGGTACTCCTGAATAACACTTATAGCAAATCTAAGTGATCTTCTATTCTTCTCAGCAGAACATTATCTGTTTTTGCAAAAGAAAAGGTTAAGCTTCCGAGCGAAAACACTTTTGTTATAAAAATTTCAATGAAACTTTCAGGTTATATATCGGAATATGATGGTGCACATTCTCCTGCAGCTTTAGAATGGTTTTGTATTTTGAAGGCTCTCTCAAACGAGTGTAAGGTAAATCAATAGCTTTTTATCGTTTGACTTGACATGCGTTGTATGTAACAAAACGTTTCTGTGCAATATGTGGTACATGTATTTCACTTTTAATTTATACATAAAAGAATTTTTTTTTTGTATAGTCAAAGCGTGGTTAATTTTCCTTATGGAAAGTTCTTACTAAAGCATATTTTGAGTCATCAATATTAGTTCCCTTTTAATTTCTAATCCGTCTGTAATATGCTTTAATCATAAGAATTAAAATTTTTTGCTTTGAGGAGCCTTGTTTTAGCGTTAAAAAGCTTACCAAAGAATTACAGTCAAACGAAAAAAATACCCTGGCAGATATTGCACTAAGATCGCCAGCTAACTCAGAGCAAGTATTACACAACAAGGTTGACGATGTTTTTGTGGTTACCCAAAAAGCTGTTTATTCTTTCCGTCTACCAGACCGATTGCTCAAAAAAACTCCATTTAAATTGGTGTTATGTGCTATGTACAACGCTACCTTTTTTAGTTCTGGTAAATTATTTTAACTTTTTTATTGTTTCTGTTGTTGAAGACTTTTATTTATATAATGGCTTTTTTTATTTTGCTTTAAATATTTTATTTAATTCCAGTGGTCTCTCCATCATACTGATCCATCATCATACCTCTGATTCGTCTGACACTGGCCCCACATCTCTTTACTCACATTCTATATGTATATGATATATCATTGCAATGTAAGCTGGCACAATACTTGCAGTTATCAAAAGAGATCAAAAAGGGAAAAGCAATACATTGTGGAGAAATTCAGCACAACATATATAAATGTTTTGATAACTCAATTTCCAATGAAGTATTACAGGTCGTGATGCTCGGTATTGTTACGTTTTCTTGGAGGAAAGTGGTCTACAACGAGTAAGATTGCTTCCTAGGTAACTTCATTTTCTGAAAGGAATTGTTTGATCATAATTTATATGAATTAATTTACTGTTGAAAATGGCAAATTACAGAGGATTCGATGCAAATTTGGCACAAACTGTAGCACAAATGAGTAAAACGGACGTTCATCCAGTAAATCTTTCAAGCGCTACAACCGATCGTCGTGCACTCGCCCTGGCATTTTATCTCTTTTCGAAAGCTGATTTGGTATGTTGACTGATGTAAATGGCTTATTGTGATTTTCCAGTGGCTTCTGAGTTAATAAGAGAAATTAATTCTATTACTTTATTCACTCTTTGGTAAACTTTGAATAATAGTACTGTTGCTTATTTGATGACATATCAGAATTGGAAACAGCGCTGAAGAGTTCTTACTGACATCTTATTGCTATCTGAAAACATCGTTTTCAAGTAACGAGAAATCTTAGTTGAATACTCCATTGGCTTCATACTTTGAAGTAAACATTTTGAAGCATGAAGCTAGCAATATGATTCAAGAACTTTTGGAAAATCGGCATACTGGAATTGCGCAAATATGTGTAGATTATGCAATCAACTTAGCAGACGACATTCCAAATGATGAGCGTTGGTCTGCTACTAACCGTTCTTCCCACTGTAAGTTCTATTTCAATTTATTCCTTATATTAAACTTTTCAGATTTTAAATGGAATTATGTGTAATCATGTTTATTTTTCAGCAGGAGCAGTGACAGACCAAATATCTTCCAAAAGTTCATTTTTATTGGAAGTACACTTGGAAGAACAAAAGAGGAGAGTATTGGCGATGTTTATTCTTTTTATCAAAAGTGTTAAGCTTGATGATAAAGTAATTTCTTTCTTGCAGTTTTTATGCAGTAAAATAAGTTAGAAAGTTCCGTTTTAATCATTCTTTATCACTTTTTTCTGATCTTTTCTTTAAAATACAATTCTTTCCTATCTTCTCTTATCTGATACTTATATTTTCAGCTGAATCGAATTGTTAAAACTCATCTTTCTCAGTCGCGCAGCGCTCGTTCTCAAATTGTTGAATTAATTGAAAAGATTGATATTGCGATTGTATTATACAGATGGAGTAAGGTACTGTCTGTGTTCTGAAAATCTCAGTTTAGAAAAAATCATACATGTCTAAAATTTAAATCTTTAATGTTTTTATTTTACTTCGAATTGGTAGATTTCTTTTGTAGCAAAATCCACCTGCAATTTTCGACGCAGCTCTGAAAAGAGTATTATTGAAGCGAAAAGAAAGCATAGACAGGGAACGAGATTTACTCACACGATATGATTACTTTTTCCGAGAAGTTAGTTTTTCTTCTTTTTAAATTTAAAGGTCCAGTTTTATCAGTGTTGAGAATCTTTGTTGTTTTCTGAAAAAAATATGCTTTTTTAATACCGAAAGTTTGAATTAAAATATATTAACTAAAACACTATTAAGAGCATTACAGCTTATCCGACAATTACATTCGTTTCATTTTAGGTTTCTCGGATTGAGGATCTTTTCAGTGGACTCATCGAAGAAGAAGAGGATATTATAGGGAATAATAATGAATTGACGGATTATAAGCTAGAATGTATTGAATATGTTGGTAGTGCTTTGATTATTGGAAAGGAAGCAATTGAAAAACGTCGGGGCGACGCCGTTCTCGATATAGAAAATGATTTACGATGGACACAAGAAAAATCTGTATTGAAGCCATTCATAAAACATGTTAGTATTCTAACAAATTTTCATGCTTAAATTCGTTAAAACATTAGTCAGTTTCTTGTTTCAGTTGAGTATACTATTCAATTATATCGATCAAGCTGGTCGTGATTGTCCGAAATACGCAGCGTTGTTGAAACAAGGTATTCTTATTGCTGCGTTCATTATGAATGAACAAGCACTCGATGATCGGCAAAATTCGCCAATTGTAGCCAAATTTTTGGAAATCTCTGAAAATGCGATTGCTTTAGAATTAGCCAAACGATTTCAGGTTTGTTGTTTTTTTAATGTATCTAAAAAAATTATATACAGTGTTCATATGACTGCAGCAACAGGTTAGAAAAGACAAATATCTTAGCAGGGTACATAGGCAAACATAAACGGGATAAATAGTCAATGATCTCCATTACGATCATCAATGTTCTCAATTGATTTCTAAATCTAATTATTTTTTGAACTAATTTTTATACTAATTCCGAGTTTTAAATTCTTTCAAAACTTTCATTTTAAGAATGAAAAAAAATTATTTTGAGAAATGACTCGTATTTTGTTATAATTCGTTTTGTAAAAAACGTTTTCTTATTAGGATTACAAAACTATAATACGACTGGCATGTGCTTTACCAGATTTGGAAAGGAACGCTAAAATCCAGGAATATAAGGAATTCTTTAATTCTGGCGACTTTTGCAATATGTTATATGAATATTATCTGGAAAATGGTAATTATTCTCCTTTCAAAAAAATGATTCAATGCTGCTAGTACAAAAATTCTTAGTGTTGTTCTTTTAGGGTATGTGAAAGATCTGCTGGAAATGAAAGAACCTGATGCAGATCTTTTCTTCGCAACACGAACTAATATTGGGTGGATGCGTGATCTCGAAAATGGCGATTTCGCCAAGGTTTTTATCTTAGATTATAAATTTCAAAATAAACATTTCCTTTTTCTTGTTTTTTATTATGAAAAAAGCTTGATTGGCATTTAGTACTGTCCGTAACGTTAGTAAGTTATGATTATTTTTCTTCATAAATCATATTTTTCTTCAAAAATTACTCCTTGAATTTGAAGCGTTAGATTTTGTTACTTGTTTCATAATTTATTAGTGGACAAGTAAATCAGATGAGTCATGTCATTTTTATATAGCTTTGATTCCAGGCATGTCACACTCTTAAAACTCTCTCACGGAAATCAAACGATGATGTTATACTGAAAAGGGTTAGTTTCATGTTTATAAAATTTATAGCAACCAAAAATCCATAAGAGATTTGACCTCTTAAAAAATATGTGTTGCTAAAGATGGGATACCTGTGCTAATTTTTTAATGGTTTAGCTTGAATCTTTTTAAATATATAAGCTTTTAAATGTATAATTAAGGCAGAATGTATAAGAACTGTGGAAGATTTCAAATAAAGTCGAATAAATGTTGGCAGTTTCATTTCAGCGCTTGCTTTCTTTTGCAAAGCTTTCTGCCCTTTGCGAAGATGAAGTAGACAACGGTTTCCTGGAAGGCATTAAACGCGATCTCAATTTAATCAAACTTCAACAAAAAATTGATCCCAATTTGGAAATGATGAGTATTAAACAATTTAAAAAAATTAGCCTGCTATAAAAAAAATAGAACATTCAGCTGAAAATCTTGACTGAAGCAAGTGTATTATTAAAGTCAATAAATCGATGGATTGTTTACTGTTACTTCAATTACGAAATTTTAACATTAAATTTTTTTTAGAAATTTGATTCATCCATACCGGTTTCAAAGATACGGTCATGTACTGCGGAAGAGATCATAAGAGCGCATTTGAATGATACGTCATGTGATGTTAATCGATGTTTTTAGTAAATTCCTTTCGTAATTTAGTAATTTAATAGAATTTTATACTATTTCACTTTGAGATTATAACAAACAGAAGCGTTTAATCATAATTAATAAGCAAGGTTGTAGTAAATTGTAAAAGTACTTTGTCCCAGAGTTTTTCTTGTTTTAAAAGATGTATTTAACACTTTGCAAAAAAACTGCCTCATTAAATATATCCGAATATCTTCAGATCATTTGAGCCAGTATTATTCATGTCTTGACTGGATTTTTTTTCGTTTAAAATAGATAAATGAAATATTTTAATACAGCGCACTGCTCACATTATCAACACTAATGGACGAAGAAGCATCGAATCAAACAGCTGAACTGGTACGTTCTTTACAAACCAAAATATGGATAGCTGCTATAAGGGCGAACAGCGACTACTGGAATGAAAAGACACGAAGTGATGATCCGCAGTGTCCAACTGTTTACAACGAATTATTGGACAGGATTATTGCCTATGGTATGTATGCCCCATATATGATTATTATCTGTAGAAAATTTTTAAACTTCCTTGATCCTTTAGTTGTGCCATTCGTCAAAGAAAACTGCAGTTTATTGCTTTCCCAATACTTTAAAATCATTTTTTAATTATATTTATTTTGATTTCAGCTAAATTATCAAACGAGCGGAAATTAGAATTAATACCTGATACTAAGGAATTGGCTGAATGTTTGACAGAATTCGCGCACAATAAATTATTCGGTGTTTTACTTCGGACCAGCGAGGAAGCTGCTAGAAGAAGTATCTCAAGTGGAGAAGGTACAAAGGTCACGTAGTAAGACAATTCCAGATGCAAAATTGATTATATTGCTCATGTTGTTTTTTCCATCTAAATAAAACTACCCAAAGTTTTAAAATATTAAGAGATAGTATGAAATACAGAAATTAGAGGATACGATAAGTAAATCATGTGCAGGCTATGATCAAAGATGAGTAGAATTTTAGATAGAATTATTGGTTTTCAGTTGCACTACGAAATTTTGAATTGGTGATAACTTTAAAGAGTTGGGATTTTTAATTTAAAACTCAAGTTTCCTGCATGTTATTTCCTTTTCAAATTAAAAAATATAACTGATTCTGTGATAACACATCGATACAGTTTTGATGAATCGGCTGGATTTAGGAGAAAGATTTTGAATCTTTCTGTTTTAATCTCATATTATTTTTTAATAAAATATTTTGAATTGGGAAGAATTATTTAAGCCAGCCACGTTTAGAGATGAGCCTACTGACTCCTTTTCAGAATATTCAGACACAAAGTGCTCTTTACAACTTCTTTATTGAATGTAATTGACGCGCATATTAAAGATCATTTATATATGAAATGGTTTTATAGAACGGAATGAAGGTATTGTTCAGGAATAAGAAGGCTGCGAAATTGATTATTTCGTCCAGGGGCGGTAAACTGATGGTAGTATATAAATCTGTGATTCAGGGCGTTCATCATAGCCGTAACCGAGCAAATGTTGATACAATCCGTAAACTGATCTCTTCATCTATAATTAAAATCAACCGAGTAGTTAATAAAAAAATGTACATCAGTAATTTAAATATGGCATAAGTGCAAGACATTAAACACAATTTAACATTTGAACAAAATTTATTCCAACCAAGAGTGACCGTGCAGAATTTTGCGAGACACTGTTCTTGTCTAATCCAGTAACCCTACTGTTCGAATCGATTAGAATGTTGTTTTTTTGAAATCTCATATATTTCTAAACAAAAAATATGGAAAATGACAATTTAATTGCGTATAATTTTTGATCAATGATAGAGTTCGACCCATTAATTTTTATGCTTACTGAGTTTGTTAGATGGTAATTCGCACTTATTAATCATGTTACCATTATTATAGCTGAAGAATAAAAGAACTGGACTTGGGTATATCAAATGTAAGTGAATTACACTTTTCAAAATTTTTCCCTACTGTAATTAGACTCCATTTTAGTTTAAAAAAAATAATATGGAAGAGGATCATTCCTAAATGAAATAACAGAAATAATAAAAAGGAGTGGAAAGATTAGCATGTAATATTGTGATATTCCTATTATTTTGCATTAGCTAAATGAATGAAATCAGCCGAAGAGGTAAGAAGCCTAATCTTAACTATTGGTAATTGTTTCATCCCACTTACTCATATGTACATGACTAGCACTAATCGTAGATATTCAACTATTTACATCTATCATCCAATTTCAGCACATTTTAAGTGCATGTAATAGCAAAATGAAATATTTTATTTATTATGTTTTATGTATGTTTCTCTTAATTGCCTAAGTACTTAGTTATGTTTTTTCTCCATAATATAGATGTAATTTGAATAATTATTAACAATTTCGGAGAAAAAATGATATATTTGAAATGGTATCATTTTGCATTTCAATATTTAGAGAGATTGCTCGATATATTCGAGAAATTGGACATTGTAAGATTGGATATTAGAAATCAAATGAGCAAATTAAAAACGGTATACTGATTGCGCCGAATTATCCGGTACATTTCCCCATATTGATGCGATCGGTGAAGCACTTACTGAATTCAACAGAATTGAAATCAATCCTGTAACAATGAACTAATCATTGAATTTGTTTCGTTCAGTTTCAAATCATCAAGCTCAATAAGCAAACATTTGAATAAGGAAGGTTAAATTCACAATGCAAAATAGATTTAAGAAGATCAGATAGTCAAGGGATAGATTAAATGGTATAATTTATAAAAACACCAGCATATTTTGGGGCTTCTTCGATGTATGATTGCGCCAAAATAAGAAACGTTCATGGTAAATGTTGAATTCAAATTGTTCAATTAAAACTACAAGATTTTATGACACAATTTTAACCCTGGAAATGAAGGATTAAACTAGTAGCATGGAATCTCGCACTTTCGACTGACTAATTAGGGATACCTTGTGAATCGTGAGTGGAAATCAGAAGAAAGTAATAAAGTTAAAATGGATTGAATTAATACAATTGTACAGCAAGTGTTTATTATTAGTTATAAGAGCGTATATATCATGATATCAATCTTAACTAATTAAAATGATCTAATTGATTGAGATATATAAATTCTGGATGTTATTTATAATAGCATTGTATCGATTTTTATTTTATGAATTTACCGAATTGTTCAAGAAACTAATCTATCTGAAAATGGACTGACAAACTTCAAGAACAAAATATGAATAGTGTTTTTTTTTTACGGAAAGATGAAATCTATTCAAATCAGAAACTGATAAAATCCATTAAAATTAATGATATACTTAGCGGATTAAACAATGCACATTGAACAGGCTAATAATAGCTTTTTTTTGATTTTGGAATTTCTGCGCTAGTTTTTGCTCGATATTTTGATTAAATGGTTGGAAAAAAAAGTGATGAAAATTGATAATTTAAATAAATGATGAAGCAAATAATATAACATACCTAAGGAAAACAGGTACTTCATGTTTAACAGACCAGGAAGAGCTGATATTATTAAACTGACTTTAGTAATGATAATATATTCATCTAATACTAATACTACTATCAAACAAGAAGGAGGGATCATTTTCCTGGAATAGGTTCAAACTCCACCTATCATTTTTGTTATTTATTTATTCTTTCTTTTTTCTTTTTCTTCCTTTACAATTAAAGACTGATGAATCGAATTGACTTATAAACTTTCTTCTATTCTTTCAACTTCTCCAAAATCATGTCTTCTCGAATGTGAATGTAGCCGATAAAAAAACCAAATTCAAACAAGAAAAAAAATTTATTCAAAATAAAAATTGCTACACAATATACCCGCTCTCGCTCGATTTCAATAAACTTTAATAATACAGTAATATTCTCATTTCATTTGTAACATTTGTGTCAACAAATATTCATCAAAATAAATTTTATTTATCCATAGAGATGATTGGTGTCATACGTTTTCTTTTTTTTTGTTTTGTTTTGATGAAATGCTTTACTTTGAAAAGAAAAAGAAAATTATTAATTTATTTGTTGGGAAAGACACATTTGAGATGTGATATGACCTTGCATATATATTCATTTCTATTTAATACTTTGCTTGTCACTTTTATATACCACTCAAATATTAGCTCACCGTTGCATATTGTTATTAATAGTAAATGACAAAGTAAAATTGACCAAAAAAAGAAAATGCTTCCAACGCTATAAGAATCAATCGAATTGAGACAGATATCTCAACAGTAATAGCAGTAACATTTAATTTATCATGCAATCTCAATCAAAAATTTGAAATATTTCGACATATAATTCTACATTTCACATATTATTTTTTTCACTTATAAACTATTCTGAAGTGAATCAAACATTTTTTGGGATGAAATAAAAATTGATTTAATCTCTTCTTTTTATTTTTCATTTGTCTTTAAAGATAGGCCAATATAAAACAAAATTTTGGAAAAGACATCCCTGTTTGACAAGAGACCAAATTATATAAGTATTGATAATATTTACAGAATTTTTCTCCCTTTCCAAATTGGTATTTTATTCTTTTTTTAAATATTATCTTAATATAACATAGAACATTTCCCATATGTCATCAATAATTCATTAATTAGAGAAAGAGAAAGAGAAAGGTTACAAAATATTTTGATAAAATGACTTTTACTTCTGAGCGCTATTTGATAGACATAATAAACTAATGAATGCGACCATACAATATCATACAGTACAATACAATCAATACAATCTTTAATCCATTTTGTTCTAAAAGAAAAAAGGAAAAAAACGTAGTAAAGCTTTTGTCTTAAAATTATGAGATTATCAATTTATTGTTAAATAATTAAAAATGAACAAAATGATGTGATTAAAAAAACGCTGTGAATTAATAAGATGTTAATCAAATATATTTTGATATATTTAAATGAGTTTGAAATTTCAAATTACTTGATAGATAAAAGTATATATCAAAAATTGTAATTTTTAAATCACAAATTCTTTTTTTGTTTCATGTTGCCTGAAGTGATCTCTCTTCTTATCTTCTTGTATTATGAACTAAGATAGGAATTATTTTACAATCAAATTCTTAGATTTGGTCAAATTGGTAAAAAAAAAATCAATTAGGGAAGGTTGCAATTTTTTAATTTTTAATTTCCTTCTTTTTCGTCTTTAATTAACTTAAAATAATATCAAAATTTAGTAAGGAAACGGAATAATTGAATTTTTTTCTTTTTGTAATTATGTTTTTCAGATATATTGTAGAAGCTGCTGGTTAAATTCCTGTAGGACAATGAGAAGTTGTTGAGTAGTGGGACGATCTCGATAATCGAGCTGCCAACAGCAATACATTAGTCCATACCTGCAAATATCTAATCTATAGAACGATATCAAAACTGATTAGATTTAATCATAGGTTTTAATAAACGATCAGTTGACCTACTCATCCTTAACATATAATCATTTCAATAGCTAATGATATATGTCTGCTTTTATTTAGTCAACAACTGTAGGAAAGTAATAATTTGATAAAAATTGGATATTTTAAAATTTTATTCTGCTAAACTAATGTATTTAAGCATAGTTATTCATCCCAAATATCGATTATCGTAGTATACAAAGAGTTATAGAGTGGAAAGGATAGTGAAATATGAATTTATTTTTTACGGATGATTTCTCTCATAAATAAATATATATTTTTTTTACTTGGAATTTTATATTTGGATAATTTTTTTATTCTCTTCATGAATATACTATCAAACAACATTATTAACATATGCATCCAAAAATTTATAAATGTAATAAATTTTTTAAAAAAAGATGTTAAGATCAGAAACAAATCCATGTTGCAGTATGATTTAAATATAACAGTTCAATATGCTTTTTTTAAACGATGTAACCATCGAAGCGCAAAAGAAATGAAATTTGGTAGAAAATAAAATAAGTCAATAGAGTTAATAATTCCTGATGTTAAATATTTACAAACGGAATATTATTTTTATATTATTGAAGAGATCAGAAATGATCTTAAAATATTGCTAAAAAATTACTACCCTCTCTTGGTTTCATTCAGTTTTTTATTGAATTTGAAAAATTTGAAACTGATAAAGTGTGCTGATTTCAAAAGTATGAAGCAATTTTTTTTTTCCTGCAAAAAACTTACAATTCATCTGGACAACTGTATGGTTGAGACAATCGTTTTCCACGTTCCAAAACTGTAGCCATCTCGTCGGGATCAATATCCGGATAGGGTTGCTGCCCACAACTTAACAATTCCCATAGTGTTACACCGAATGACCACTGAAATCAGAAAAAAGAAAAAGATTTCAAATTTTCTACTCCCTTCATACGTCAGAGACATTTCTCATACATTTTTCAAAATATATTTTACCATCAATCTCGCTAATTTCAATTCTTTTAATCAAAATTTCACATTCATTACCATTTGACCATTGAAAAGAATGATGTTATATATCGAGAAGGGTACAATAGAACTAACTACATCTGTAGAACTATTGAACGAATTCTGAACCAATGATTCATGCGCCATCCATTTCATCGGTCTATTCTCGTTATCACCCAGACAATGATAATCATCGGGGAAGAAGTCTTTACTTAAAGCGGAATCACAAATTTGCACAAACAGATCACCGCGATTATGACCTTTGGATACCAGACAGTTTCTGTAAATCGATCATCTGATAGTAGCAGTGGTAATAGTAAGATATTACTTAGGTATATTTTTTTTTTCGTTTTTCCATTATTTAAATGAACGTTTTTCCATTATTTATATGAAAATGAATGAACTTTTCCTATCTAATCATTCGAAGAATTTTCATAGCTAACTTGCAATAAATCGTAAACCTTTCATAATTAAACTTTCAATTTCAACTTTATAATGTCATCAATCGCCAACTGCATCTGAATTACTACAAATATGCTAGATTAATTGAAAATAAATTACTTAAATTAGCTTTCGATATTTAATTAGATGTACAAGTAACTTAATATACTAATAAATTAAGAAATATAATAATAATCCAACCATATCCGAAGTATAATAAATTAAGATTTAAGTGATTGGATGAGCACCTAGCTAAATAATTACCACGTAAAACACGTAAGTGACTATTTATTAACACCTTTCATTACAATAAAAATCATTTTAATTTTAATACCAAAATTAATAAATGAAAGAGAAGTAAAATGGATTATTTGCACCTTGTTGCAATGTCTTTATGAATAATGCCGAAATTATGCAAATGTATTACAGCACTCAATATTTGTAAGGCCATCGAAACGAGCTCGTGCGCACCAAGCGTCTGTATTCCGCTGCTGTCTGCAATCATTGCGGCAAAATGAATGGTGATAATTCTAAAAGTGATAACTTATCATTAAAAGTAGAAAATAAGAATAGTTGGAGGAAATTTGAAAAAATAAATTATCAGTCATTATTAAAATATGAAATTTTACTCGAATTTTTAAATTGAGCATTTGTTTGGCCATTTCGGCAGCTAATGAGAAATTTCTTCAAATTTCCAAAGCCCTCATGTGAATAACATATAAGCGGAAAATCGATTCTTTTTTCCGGATCATTTAAATCGTCGAACGATGATGCTATTGCTGCTACCTGAAAACTTCTCGTTCTATAATTTCTACAATTACAAAGCCATTTATTAATTCCTGCAAATAGAGCAAATATACAATTTTCCAAAAATATTAATAATAATAACAATGACAATAACAACATATTTTTATCCTCCCAACTTTCATTTTCATTCTTCAATTACTTTATAATTAACATTTAATAATCTCACATAAATAATTTTATAGACTTAATAATTGCATATGCAATTCCGAATATTATTTTGATTTATGCAATGATTTTAAATAAAAATATAGACTGCCAAAATTCACAAATGCAAGTATGTAAAGTTTTGTGAGGTTAGAATTATCATGCTGAACCGAGAGAATAAAAAGAAGCGTACTTGCGCCAAATTCTCATGTTGTCCTACATTGAAGAATGCTAGCGCTTCTTGCAGAAATTTCTCGAGATGTCTTTTATCAGCTGTGAGTTTCAATCTCTTTAGAATCACCCGTTCCTCGAAACGTACATTATCTTCTTGATCATCTATGTCACCAATAAAATCTGCCATATTTCTCTTCCAGATCGCCCATTTCATCTCTCCGAACGTACCTTCAAGCTCCTCTATCGAGAGAATCTTGAAAAAAGGGAAAGAAGAAATTTTAGAAAAGTCTCAGGAACCTCAAGAAAGAAAGAAACCACCAGAATAATAAGCAATATTAAAGATAAATTATTCTCAGTAAAACGGATTCTAAAAGTAAGACTGCAACTAAAAATTCAATGATGTCTTCCGGGAAATTTAAAAGAGAAAAAGTTGGGTTTATAGCAAAAATTCAGAATCATTAATGGACATAAGCGAAACATATCGGTGAATCTGAATCTCTGTCAGGATGATATACTTACCTCAAAAAAATTTCGATCAACACATAATTTCATATATGCTTTCTTCATATCGATTACTTGTGACTTCTCATAAATTATTACGGGAACAATGCTAGGCTTGAAGACTAAGGATGAACATGGCTTATCAGGATCAGCATAACCGGCAGCTAAAAGATTCGAACTTATTCAAATGTAATACCAAAATAATAATAATGCTAATTATTGATAATAGTTATGATCGAATGATGGTTATAATAGCAATGCAATTATTAAAACTAAGCGCTAGAAAAATCAATAAAAATACCTTTTGTGGCATTTTTAAATATCAAAGGATGTGTTTCAGACATGATAGCTGATGTTTTCCTCGTTAGTTTTTCAGATTTTCTGGAAAATTACGAATATTTGGTTTTTTATTTCGCAAAATAACTATTCAGTAATTATTTTACTGTTAAATGAAAATGAAAATCTATAATGATATATTACTTTTTCATATTTCATATTGCATTATTCAATTTAATAAGTGCTTAATAAAATATTTGTCTATCTGATATCTTCTATGAAAGTTAGATTATCTATTTTAAAAGAATTGCAAATACTTACGGAATCCAAAGTTGAAGTGGTACAGTAACAGAAGGAGATGATTTTTTAATCGAACGATAATAAACAAAGATCAGAAGAGCAATAACCAGAACAATTGCGCCTACACATCCAATCACCAAATAAAATATATTCTCCGCTGATATTAATGTCGCTGCAATATGATAATACTTTCAAAATTGTTGAAAAGTTTGATTATAAAAAACAGTAAGATTGTTTCATCAAATATTAACTTTCACAGCTTTTTAAGATCTTAAAGAAGAATACAATTGCGTTATAATGATTGACAAATCATTTTTCAAGTTTTCAAATTTAAATTCATTAAGTTCAAATTTAATAAAAATAAGGGTCGAAGCAGTTTAATGGAACTTTAAGATACCGAAAGGATTTGAGGAAATACAGAAACATGACAACCATTCAACTGAGATAAAAATAAAAAATTACAATCAATTAATTCATGCTTAAATTTATCTTAAATATATTGATATCAATTGATAAAAGAAAGAAACACAGAAATGACTGCTCAATAGATGATAGCAAAATTTCAGAACATTTGGCCAAGGCTATTTGCTGCTAAAAAAAATGCCAAAAAAAAACCACATCAACAAGTTATATTATTTATTATATCAAAAGCTTATTACGGTAGTGTAGATTAATTCACATAAAAAGTTACCATGCTTTTCGGCGCCATCCATTTCGCTTTCTAATTCATCATAATCGCCATTATTAGCTGCAAAATGTTCAAAATAACAATGTTTTGGATGGGATCGCATGATATTTTTGGTTAGCATTTCACAATAACTTCTTTGTCAGAGTTTTAGGAATAATTCTCATTTCAAGATTTGAAAATATTAACATACATGAATAAAAAAACAATACGCAGTTTCATTTGAAAATCACTCAAAGATGAAATATGTGCAGCTACAAAAAAGAAGAAAATATTATCATGAATTTAATTCGAAAATTCTATTTCAAATAATACTAAAAAGTGTATGATGGAGAGATGAATAAAGGCTAGTTAATAATGAAGGACAGATTAAAACAAATGCGTAACATTACACTCATAAACCATTAAACCTTTTTTATGACTTCTCTCTTTCTTTTTCTATTATATTGTGTCTAGAACTTCTTAAAAATTCAGGAAAAAAAATTTCTGATAAATTT